ATAAAACCAACCACCTCTGCTCAGCTCATCAGAGCACTCATTCTATTTTGTACGATGAGGTGTTACCTTATTCTAGAATGGCAAATAAAAACCAGTTAAGGTCTCTAAATTTGTTGTAATTTTGTCTTTTGTTTTTTGATGGGGGTTAGCCACTTTTGTATCCTCTGATAATATTTTATTGTGGACAACATGTACACCTGTACACCATTCTCCTTCATTTGTTTACAGATATGGCAATTTTTTCTTCATGTCAAAAATATCTACGTCTATTGTAAAAAAAAAAAAAAAATTAAGTCATTTGGATGAACCGAAAAGAAGAAAAATAATATAAAAACTATACAAAATTCTACCACCTTGAGATGTCTCTTTTTTGTATATTTCCTTTTGTGTAACTAGGGAGGAGGCCTACACTGCTTATTTCTCCTTATAAAGGAATTTCCCCTCTATAACTCCTGTTGCTAATGTTGCCTTATTTTGTACCACGTGGCCCCATTCCACGAGTCACGCAAATCACACTGATGATGAAAACCTACCTATATTAGTCAAGGTTTAGTCAAGAAAACAGACACCACCCTAGACTTTTCAAACCAAATAAAGAGGAACGTTAATAAGGAAATTGGTTACACAGGAAATGGAAAAGCTGAGAAGCCAAACACAGGATGGGGTGATGAGGCAACTGAGAGGTCGGCAGCAGCCAAAAGCAACTGCCACGCTGGAACTAAAGGGTCAACGGGAGAAGTCAGTTTCATCAGAGCACAGAAGCTGAGGCCAAACAGAAAGAGCCAGAACTAAGGAGAGGGTATTTCCCCCACGGGAGCTGGAACCACAGAGGGAGTGTGTGTTTGGGAGGAATTGGAGACACACAAGAAAAACTGTCACAGAAAACAGAGAAATAAGGGGCAATATCCTAGCCTTTCCCCTCCTCCCACCCTCCAGTCATCTGCTATCATCTTTCTGTGGCCAAACTTACCCAGAAGACTTCAGGCAAAGGAAATGATGGGAGGTGGGGTGGGATGGGAGTAAGCACAGGCAGCTGGCCAACAATTGTCTAAGAGTAGCCCCTGAATTGACTGGTCACACATCACCTATGGCATAGTCTTGCCAAAAATGTTTAAGCTGAATCTAATCATGAGGAAATAATCAGGCAAATCCATATGGAAAGACATTGTACAAAACAACCAGCCTAGACTCTCCAAAATGTCAATGTCCTAAAAGACAAAAGAGGACAGAGAACTGATCTAAATTAAAGAACATAAGGGAGGCTCACGCCTGTAATCCCAACACTTTGGGAGGCAGAGGCAGAAGCAGGAGGATCACTTGAGCCCAGGAGTTCGAGACCAGCCTGGGCAACATAGTGAGACCCCATCTCTATATAAAAAAAAAAAAAGAAAAAGAAAAAATAAGGCGGGAGGATCACTTGAACCCGGGAGGTCAAGGCTGCAATGAGCCATGATCAAGCCACTGCATTTCTACCTGGGAAAGGGAGTGAGATCCTCCTGTCTTTCAGAAAAACAAAACATTAGGGAGACATGGCAACTAATTTTGATGTGTGATCATAGATTAAATATTAGATCAAAAAAGAATGGCATATAAAGGGCATTATGGGGCAATTGTGGAAATATGAATATAGTTAGTACACTAGATAGTTGTATATAAATGTTAAATTTCTTGAGTGTGGTAATTTGGTTGTGGTTATGTAAGAGAATGCCCCTGTTCTCAGCAGATACATGCTAAAGTATTTAAAGGTAAAATGTCATGATGTCTTCAAATAACTTCATATATATATATATATATATGCATGGAGAAAGAATGTGTGATCAAACAAATGTGGCCAATGTTAAAATTAGTGAATCTAAGTGAAGCATCAATAGGCATTCATGGTACTGTTCTTGCAACTATCCCAAAGGTTTTTTTTTTTTTTTTTTTTTTTTTGAGACAGAGTCTCACTCTGTTGCCCAGGCTGGAGTGCAGTGGCACAATCTCGGCTCACTGCAACCTCCGCCCCCCGGGTTTAAGGGATTCTCCTGTCTCAGCCTCCTGAGTAGCTGGGATTACAGGCGCCTGCCACCACACCCAGCTAATTTTTATATTTTTAGTAGAGACGGGGTTTTACCATCTTGGCCAGGCTGGTTTGAACTCCTGACCTCGTGATCCACCCATCTCGGCCTCCCAAAGTGTTGGGATTACAGGCATGAGCCACTGCGCCCGGCCCCAAAGGCTTTTCAAAATAAAAACTCCGGAAAAAAAAAAAATAGGATGGCCTTTGACCTCTGACCACTGACATAAGGAGATGAATTCAACCAACTGTTCTTAGGAATTTAAACCTAAACACAGAAAAAGAAGTTGCTACTTAGCAATAAAATTGGAGGTGACAGAAAAACATGTAGAGTTCAGCTATAGCAAACTAAAATTATGTACACACCAAAATTATGAGATGGGAAAAAAGATACGGCAAGTTGTTTACAAAAATAGCTGCCACAAATGCTCCTCATCTAGTAAGCACTTCTCCCATCATGAGGTGAAATCTATGTCTCCCTGCGTTCTAGACTGGCCTTGTGACTTACTTTGACCAACAGAATGCAGAAGTGACATGGTGCCAGTTCTTGACCACCAAGAGGCTTGACATCTTGCATTCTCCTTCTCTTGGAGCCCTGAGCCACTGTATAAAGAAGACTAACTGCCCAGGAAACAACAGATGCTGGAGAGGATGTGGAGAAATAGGAACACTCTTACACTGTTGGTGGGAGTGTAAATTAGTTAAATCATTGTGGAAGACAGTGTGGCAATTCCTTAAGGATCTAGAACCAGAAATACCATTTGACCCAGCAATTCCTTTACTGGGTATCTACCCAAAGGATTATAAATCATTCTACTATAAAGACACACGCACACGTATGTTTATTGTGGCACTATTCACAATAGTAATGACTTGGAACCAACCCAAATGTCCATCAGTGATAGACTAGATAAAGAAAATGTGGCACATATACACCACGGAATACTATGCAGCCATAAAAAAGGATGAGTTCATGTCCTTTGCAGAGACATGGATGAGGCTGGAAACCATCATTCTCAGCAAACTAACACAGGAACAGAAAACCAAACACTGCATGTTCTCACTCATAAGCGGGAGCTGAACAATGAGAACACATGGACACAGGGAGAGGAACATCACACACCGGGGCCTGTTGAGGGGTGGGGGGCTAGGGGAGGGAGAGCATTAGGAGAAATACCTAATGTAGGTGATGGGTTGATGGGTGCAGCAAACCACCATGGCATGTGTATACCTATGTAACAAAACTGCATGTTCTGCACATGTACCCCACAACTTAAATAAAAGAAGAAGAGGAGGAGGAGGAAGAGGAAGAGGAGGAAGAGGAAGAAGAAGGAGGAGGAGGAAAAGAAGAAGAAAAGAGGAAGGGGAAGGGGAAGCGGGGAAGGAGGAGGAGGAGGAGGAGACTGACTGCCTGCTGGAGAGACTGGTCTGGCCAGTCCTTTGCTGTTCTAGACACCTGTGCTGAGCCACACATGTGAGTGAAGCCACCCAGACCCTCCAGCCCCAGGCAAGGTGGCCCAGCCAACACCACATGGAGCAGAACCAAGCTGTTCCTGTCAATCCCTTCCCAAAGTTCAGCATTGTAAGCCAACAAATAAGTAGTGGTTGTTATTTTAAGACAATACATTTTGGGGAGATGCGTTATACAGACAATTCCCAACCCACAAGGGTTCAACTTGGTATTTTTCAACTTTAGGAAGGTGCAAAAGCGATACACATTCAGCAGCAACTGTACCTCAAGTACCCATACAACCGTTCTGTTTTTCACTTTCAGCATCATATTCAATAAATTACATGAGATAGTCAACACTTTATTATAAAATGGGTCGTGCGTTAGATACTTTGGCCAACTGTAGGCTAATGTAAGTGTTCTGAGTACATTTAAGGTAGGCGAGGCTAAGCTACCTTAGCCTAGGTTAGGTGTATTACATGCATTTTTGACTTAACGATGTTTTTGACTTACAATGGGTTTATCAGGACGCAGCCCCATCATAAACACAGGAGCGTCTGTATAGCTAATAGGGAACAGAGCAGACAGACACACAGAGATGCCTGCAGGAAATGCTAAGTTTTACTATTCCAGTTCCTTCCGTGCGTAGGCTCAAAACAACTCCTACTCTTTCTGAGTCAAACTGAGCAAGTCTCTGTTGCTTACAGCGAAATAAGAGCCAGAGAAAAAAATGGCTCTTCCTGGCTGCTCTGCCTATGGAGTAGCCATTCTTTTATTCCTTTACTTTCTTAATACACTTGCTTTCACTTGAAAATAATAAAATGTAGGGCCTGGCGCGGTGGCTCACGCCTGTCATCTCAGCACTTTGGGAAGCCAAAGCAGGCGGTTCACGAGGTCAAGAGATGGAGACCATTCTGGCCAACATGGTGAAACCCCGTCTCTACTAAAAATACAAAAATTGGCCGGGCGTGGTGTTGCACATCTGTAGTCCCAGCTTCTCAGGAGGCTGAGGCAAGAGAATCGCTTGAACCCAGGAGGCGGAGGTTGCGTGACCTGAAATTGTGCCACTGCACTCCAGCCTGGCGACAGAGCAAGGCTCCATCTCCAAAATAAATAAAATAGGCCGGGCGCGGTCGCTCACGCCTGTAATCCCAACACTTTGGGAGGCCGAGGCGGGTGGATCACGAGGTCAAGAGACGGAGACCATTCTGGCTAACATGGTGAAACTCCGTCTCTACTAAAAATACAAAAATTAGCTGGGCCTGGTGGCATGCGCCTGTAATCCCAGCTACTCAGGAGGCTGAGGCAGGAGAATTGCCTGAACCCTGGAGGCTGAGGTTGCAGTGAGCTGTGATCGCGTCACGGCTCTCCAGCCTAGGCAACAGAGCAAGACTCCGTCACAAAAAAATAAAATAAATAAATAAATAGTCCCTTCTTATCCTTTCTCTTTGCAGGTATTTTTGTTATCCAAAGATTCTGAATAAATATCTCTTATTTCTACTTGTTTCATTGACTTCCCCTTTTATTGAGTAACAACACCTGATTTTCAAAATGGTTTGTTGTAAAATGCATCATACAAACAGAAGGATGGATAAAATTTTAAAAGTAATGGCAAATTAAAAGTAATGGCAAAAGCCACAATTACTTTTGCACCAACCTAATATTATAATAATAAGGTAAATAATCATCCACCCAGTTTAAGATATAAAACATAACCAGTCCTTTAGAAACCTCTGCTTATCCCTCCCCAACTGTGGTCTCTTCTCCACCCACAGTGATGACCACGATGATGACTTATGTTAATCATTCTCCTATTTCCTTTAGAGTTTTCCACCAATATATACATCCCTAAACAGCATGACTCAGTTTTGAAAAACTGAGCAGCAAGCACCAATCTAGAAGAATAAGGAAAGGGTGATGTTACCACTGTTTGAGGAAGGCTCAGGAGAAGATAAACTGAACAGCCTCTCGGTCATTGTCTGGCTTCAGCTTCCCTAAGCATTTATAAGAGCCTTTTATGGGAAAATCATTGAGTCAGATGGTGAGTAACACTGGGAGTCACTGGGCTCAGCACAGGTGAGACATACGGTAGCACTGGAGAATGGGCCGGGCTTTAGATGTTTGGCCAGGACATAGTCACAAGGAGATGGCTGTTCTGTATATTCTGCTCATCACGACTTCCCGTCCACTTCCCAGAAGAGGTCAAGGCAGAACATTTCTAGACAACACCCACAGCAGATCAAGTATCAGAGCATCGGAGGAATGAGCAGGAACTTTATCAGCATGTGGTCAAAATAAGGTAAGTACAGAGGAAAAATCCGGGCCAGACTTTGGGTATTGAGTCCTTGATTTAAAAGTTAGCGTGATGGCAGTGGGGACGGTGGTGATGGAAGCCCTCAGTGTGTCTCTCCTTGGAGTCCTGGTGTCCCGCTTCTTCAGGCTAGACGTGGTTCCTTCTGCACCTAGTTCATAACTGTCATTCTGGACTCTCCCATCACCCTTACCCTAGAGTCCCTTCACCACTCTCCTGTGTTAGATTCCTACCTGTTGTGCCCCATGTGTTCCTTCTTGGCTTGTCCTCTCATTCAAGAAGCACAGCCTCCAGTAGCCCCTTAAGAAAGAATGCATGTGAAGTAAATCTTGCATATCTGAAAATGCCCTTATTTTACACTCATATTTGGTTGATAATTTCGCTGGGTGCAGAATTCTAGGCTGGGAATAGTTTTTCTTCAGAATTTTGATAAGCACTGCTCTGGTGTCTCTTGCCTCTACCATTGTTTACTGAAGCCGGCAAAGCCAAAGCTGATCCCCAATCCTTTATATTTGGTCTTCATATGTACCCTCTCCCTTGCTCTCTAAACTTTTACAATCTCTTGGACTCTGTGTTCTGAAATTCCATGATAATGTGTCTCGACAGGTCTTTTTTCATCCATTTCTCTGGGCACTTGAAGAACTCTTTCAATCTGGAAACTCATGTCCTTCATGAGTTTTGAGTAAACTTTTCTGTATGGTTTTATTGATGACTGCCTCTCCTACATGTTCTTTTTCTCTCTTGAACACATATTATTCAGATATTGAACACGCCAGTCTTAATCTCTAATTTTTTTTATCTTTGCTTTCCTATTTTTCATCTCTGTGTCTTCTTGGGCGATTTCCTCAAGTTTATCTTCCAACTCCTCTGTTACATTTTTCAGGTCCACTCTTTGCTTTAATTTTTAAAGGGCCCTTTTTTCTTCTCTTAAAATGTATCGACCGGGCGCGGTGGCTCAAGTCTGTAATCCCAGCACTTTGGGAGGCCGAGACGGGCGGATCACAAGGTCAGGACATCGAGACCATCCTGGCTAACACGGTGAAACCCCGTCTCTACTAAAAAATACAAAAAACTAGCCAGGTGTGGTGGCGGGCACCTGTAGTCCCAGCTACTCAGGAGGCTGAGGCAGGAGAATGGCCTGAACCCGGGAGGCGGAGCTTGCGGTGAGCTGAGATCCGGCCACTGCACTCCAGCCTGGGTGACAGAGCGAGACTCCGTCTCAAAAAAAAAAAAAAAAAAAAAAAAGTATCATGATCTTATTCTGCTCTTATTGTACACGGGTACAATCTATTCTGTACCTTTCCAAATATATGAATAGTAGACTTTTAAAGTTTTTATATCCTTGTTTATTCTATGGGGTTGTTTTGTTTTTCTGTACTTTTGGGCTTTATAGTCAAGGTCCGAAGCAGCATCTGATTCTTCTTTGAAGAACTGCTGCCTCCCATATTCTCAATCCGTGTGAGTGAATTGCATCATTTGCTAATTCTTTCAACTTAAATAAGAAACTTGTGATCCCCCTACACTTCAGCTCTGAAAAACTCTCCTACTCTGTTTCAGGGGAGGTAAATTCAGATTTTAGTTCTGGCCTCTCTCCCATTGTAATAGCTTTGAATAAAGACTTCCTTGCCTACTTGATTTTATCCTGTGCAATTTTTGCGTTGACATCTATATGCAAAAAAAAGAAAGAAAGAAACTTGCTTTAGTTTGGATGTTTGTCCCCTTCAAATCCCATGTTGAAATTTGATCCCTAATGTTGAAGGTGGGGCCCAATGGGAGGTATTTGGGTCATGGGGGTGGGTCCCTCATCAGCAAATTAGTGTCTTCCCTCAAGGGTAAGTTCTTCTTCTATTCATTACCAGGAGAACTGATTGTTAAAAAGAGCCTGGCATCGCCTCCACACCTTGCTTCCTCTCTCGCCATGTGATCTCCGCACATGCTGGCTTCCCTTCACCTTCCACCATTAGTAGAAGCAGCCTGAGGCTCTCACCTGATGCAGATGCCAGTGCCATGCTTCTTGTAAAGCCTACAGAACCATGAGCCAAATCAGCCTCTTTTCTTTAGAAATTACCCAGCCTCAGGTATGCCTTTATAGCAATGCTAAATGGACTAAGCCAATAATTAACCTCCCTGAGCTTCAGCTTCTTCATCCATACAATGAGGGTGGATATGGAATCTGTTTCAGTAGGATTGCCAAGAGAATTTAGTGAAATAATACAGAGGACACAGATTATGTCTTCTTTTCTGGCTTAGGAAGGTTAAATTGCTTAAAGTTACACATCAAATCCTGGGACTTAGACTCATAATCTGACACATAGTCAATACACAATCAATTTCAGCTATCATTATTATGACATAGTTCAAATGGGACTCACACCTCCTCTCAGTTAAAGAGAGGAGTACATGAGCCAGACCTGGCCAATGAGATTCAGCCCTAGGATTTTTGCTAGAATGATTTGAAAGGAAATTCTCTTTTCCTGTTAGATTATTAAGTTGGTAAAGCATAATCCCAGAGCTGCTGGTAGCTCACTTTAACAATGCTTTTAGAGAGTCTATCTGAAAGTAAAGCCAAACCAAGAGATGGAAACAGATTACTGAGGATCAGGCTGGATGCAGTCTTACCTGAAGACATTTTGACACTGGACTTTCCAGTATTATGAATCAATATCTTCCTTTTCTTTCTCTTAAGCCATTTTTAGTTGAGTTTTCATTACTTGCTATAGAAAGAATCCCTTGTAATACAAAAAAAAAAAAACACTGTTTTGAAACTATGTATTTCACTGACTATAACATTATCATATATTCATGTTATTAAAACTATTCTTCAACATTATTTTGTGTCTGGTATTTTATTTTATGAAGTCCATATTAGTGGACAGATACATTGTTATTAATTTTCAATATTATAAATAACACTGAAATGAATATCCTCATAGCCAAATTTTTGTGAATATCATGATTGCTTCCTGAAAATAAATTCCTAGAGGTGGAACTTCTGGGTTAAAAGTTGCATGAAATATTAAGAGTTTTGTTATATATAGTAAAACTGACCCCTTAAAAGGTGATACCAATTTTTGGTTTCACACCAGAAACATATAAGAATGCCTATTTTCTCCATCCATTGCCTAGAGTTGGTAGTATTTCTCTTAAAATCTCCACCAAGTTAGTAACCTATGCACAAAAATGGTACCTCACTTTACTTCATATTTATTTATTGAGTTATCTACCGTGCATAGATTTTTCATTAATTTGTGCTAGATTCAGTTTGTTACTATTTTATTTAGGAATCCTGCATCTATATTCTGAATTTGTTCTTCTGGTACTCCAAGTGCTCAGGCTTTTTTCTGGTTTTATACAATAAATTTTAAACATAGAGGTTTGAAGATGGAAAACCTGGGTTCGAGTCTGAATTCCACAATACGATGTGGAACCTTGGGCAATTTAATTTTCCTAACCCTGAAGAAGAGTAACGCAGTGGAAAGTGAGCCATTAAATCCCCGCAGAACCTGGAAAGGCTCAGCCCTGGGAGGTTCAGGGTGGAAAGGTGAGCCCCAGAGCCAAAATCAAGCGGGTGCTTAACAGCGTGTCACAGAGGATCAACCACCAAATCCCCTCCTACCCCACACATGCAGGTGAAAAAACTGTTGTGTATACTGACTGTGGTCGTGGTTACATGAATCTATACATGTGTCAAAATGTGTAGAACTGTATACCAAAAAGCTAATTTTACTATATGATAATTTTTAAAAATTTTTTAAGAGGCATAAAAAAAAAAAGAATACCAAAGGAAGGCTAGGGAGGTGTTAGATTTTAATAGAGACAAGAGACATGTCAATCAAATACAATATGTGACCCTGGATTTGAACCTGGATTCAAGGCACCTGATTTTATTTATTTATTTATTTATTTACTGATATAGAGTTGCTCTGTTACCCAGGATGGAGTGCAATGGTGCACTCTCTGTACACTGCAACCTCTGCCTCCCAGGTTCAAGCAATTCTCCTGCCTCAGCCTCCCGAGTATCTGGGACTACAGGTGCCCGCCACCACGTCCGGCTAATTTTTGTATTTTTAGTAGAGATGGGGTTTCACCATGCTGACCAGGCTGGATGTGAACTCCTGGCTCTCAAGTGATCTGCCCACCTGGGCCTCCCATAGGGCTGGGATCACAGGCGTGAGCCACCACACCTGGCCCAAAGTACTAATTTTAAAAAGACATTTTTAAACACTAGTGAAAATATAAATGCATATTATTAAATGATATCATGGTATTATATATTACAATATGATAAATGATATGGTAGTTATGTATGAAGGCTGTGTATTTTTAAAGTCCTTATCAATTAAAGACACATACTAAAATATTCAAAGGTGAAATGACATGATGTCTGGGATTTGCTTTAAAATATTCCAGAATATATATATACATATATAGTAAATACATGGAGTACAACAGAATAAGAGTGGGATTTTTTTCTCTTTATTCACTGCTGTGTCTTCAATTTCTACAAGTTTGGGGGTATGTGGTAGATACTTAACAAATATTAGTTGAATGAATTAGTTGAATGAATTCATCTTATTGCCTGTCTCACAAACTGTGACTGTACATACCTTTACTGATGTCTCTATCTCTTAGCTCAACTATCACTCCTGACTTCTCCCATGTACAATACTGCAAATGCTCACTGACGAATCCATGTCTAAAATCCTGCTCAGATAGAAGGAAAAGTCTTCGCTGGTAAAGTCAAATAAGCAGAGTCATCACAAGTTTTCCATTTTCTTTTATAGTTTTCACTGTACATATGAGCCCATGATATAATCTGGCCCCTGACCAACTTTGCAATTACACACTCCCACTGTCCCCTTCCGTGAAACCTACATCCAAGTCCCACAAAAAACTTACTGTCCGTCACAAGCACCTTGATATATTAAATTTCTGTGCCTTTGTACCTGGAGTTCCCTCTGCTTAGGATGCTCTTTTCTCTTTATACATCTAGTAGTGAGTTCTGTTCATTCTTCAAAATTCAGTCCAGGAGTGAAATCAGTAACAGGGCAGAATAGGATGCTCCAGCTCTCATCCCCTCATAGAAACACCAGTTAAGGCAGGCAGTGACAGATAAGAATCATTATGTGGGAGGCCTGGAGTCTAGCTGAGGTTCCAGCACCCCACTGGAGCAAATCAACCCAAGAGTGGAAGCATCGAAAAGGGTAAGAAGTGCAGTTCCACTTTACCTGCATCAGCCCTCCCCCAAGGAGGCACAGCTTGTGCTGAGAGAAGCTCCTTTGGCCTTCAATCTCTCCACAGGGGAAGGTAAAAGCATAGTGAACACCTGGCTTCCCTAGACTTGAAGGACATTGCCCAGGAGGCTCACTTCTGTCTCCCTGCCCAGAATACAGATGGTCAGCATGACTGATCATCTAGGAACAGGGAGAAGGGAATGGAGTGCACAGCAACCAGCATGTGGTTTCAACAACCAACCACAGATTCTGCCAACTAGCTCACAGACTCCAGCAGGAGACCTGCCCACAAATCCCACCAGATGACTCACCTGAGGACCCTCCACTCAATGAGTCTACACAACCTGCATGCCCCACCCCACCATGTATGGGGTCCAACACACCACTGTGCGTGACCCACATTAACTGCTGCTGAGAGAATATGAACATTAACAACAGGCATGGATCTTAGCAGCTGGCTCAACTGTGCTGGACTTATGGGAAAACATCAAGCAAACTAATATACATATTGTAGAAATCCCAAAAGGACCAGAGAAAGAGAAACGGGAAGAAAGCTTATTTTAAAATATAATGACAGAAAACTTTCCAAATCTGTAAAGAAAAAAACAAAACAAAACAAAACAAAAAAACCACCCAGATCCATTAAGCCCAAAGAACTCCATATACATTGAGAATAAAGAGGTCTTCACCAAGATGCATTATAACTAACTAGTCAAAAATCAAAGACAAAGAGATAACTTTTTTCCTTTTGTTTTATTTTATTTATTTTTTATCTCCTCAAATTCCTTTTACCAGAGAATTTTTAAAGCAGCAAAAGAAAAACAACTCAACACATACAAAGAAACCTCCATAAGACTATCAGTGGGTTTCTCACCAACAACCCTGCAGACCAAGATAAAGTGGAATGATACACTCAAAGTGTTGAAAGAAAAAAAACCTGCCAACCAAAAACATACCCAGCAAAGCCGTCCTTCAAAAAGGAGAGAAAGACAAAGACCTTCCCAGACAAACCAAAACTGAGGAAGTTCATCACCCCGGGCTTGCCTTACAAGAAATATGAAAGGGAGACCATCAAGTTGAAATGAAAGGAACATGTATCAGCAACATGAAAACATATACTCACTGACAAAGGTAAGTATAGTCAAACTGACAATTCTCTAATACCATGATGATGGTATATAGTTGGATACACAATATAAAAAGCTGTAAATTGTGATATAAATAATAAAAATGTGAGGGGAGAAGTAAAAGTGTATAATCTTTGTATGTAATAAAAATTAAGTTGTTATCAGTTTAAAATAGACTATTATAACTACAAGACATTTTATGTAAGCCTCCTGGTAATCACAAAAAAAAAAAAAATCCTATAGTAGATACACAAAAGATAAAAAAAAAAGAATCAAAGCATACCACCACAAACAATAATAATAAAGCCACAAAGGAAGACAACAAGAGAGGAAGAAAGCAACTACAATAAACAAAATAGCAATAGTAAGTCCTTACATATCAATTATTACTTTAATGTATATAGACTAAATTCTCTCATCAAGAAGCATAGAGTGTGGATAAACAGAATTTTTTTTTTTTTTTTTTTTTTTTTTGAGATGAAGTCTCGCTCTCTCACCCAGGCTAGAGTGCAGTGACCTGATCTTGGCTCACTGCAACCTCTGCCTCCCGGGTTCATGCCATTCTCCTGCCTCAGCCTCCTGAGTAGCTGGGATTACAGGCACCCACCACCATGCCCAGCTAATTTTTGTATTTTTAGTAGAGATGGGGTTTCACCATCTTGGCCAGGCTGGTCTTGAACTCCTGACCTTATGATCCACCTGCCTCGGCCTCCCAAAGTGCTGGGATTACAGGTGCGAGCCACCGCACCTGGCCGATAAATGGATTTTCAAAAATAAGACCCAACTATATGCTGTCTACAAGAGACTCACTTTTGATTTAAGGACACAAATAGCCTGAAAGTGAATGGATGAAAAACACATCCCATAAAAATGATAACCAAAAGAGAGCAAAGGTGGCTATACTTACATGAGACAAAATAGACTTCAAGTCAAAAACTGTCATAAGAGACAAAGAAGGTCATTATATATACTAACAAAAGGGTCAATTCATCAGGAAGACATAAGACAGCAATACATAGTAGAAGAAATCAATACCCCCACTCAACAATGGATGGATCATCCAGACAGAAAATAAATAAGGAAACAGTGGAATTAAACACTAGATACCAAATAGATCCAATGAACATATATGTGACATTCTATCCAACAGAAGCAAAATACACATTCTTCTTAAGCCCACATGGAACATTCTCCAGGATAGATCACATGTTAAGTAACAAAGTAAGTCTTAACAAATTTACGAAGATTGAAATCATATGAAATACCTTTTCCAATCACAATGAAATGAAACTAGAAATAATAGGAGGAAAACTGGAAAACTCACAAATATGCAGAAATTAAGCAACACACTCCTGAAAAACCAATGGG